TTTTCTTTTGCTTATGGGTCACATGTTTCACAGATATGGAGAGTTTTACTTGTATTGTTGCCATACATACTGTGTACTGGATAATGATAATTTGTATAGACTCTGGGTTCTTTAAGGTTTCTCTGAAGAGCATTTATATTCAGGAAGACAAATTATTGATCAATCACTTTGAACCCATAAAGATTTGTTTTTATACCTTTCTTTTTAGCATTTAAAAAATATTTATTTTGACAGAGAGAGTGGAGGAGGGGCAGAGAGAGGGGGATACAGAGACTCTCAAGCAGGCTCCGTGTTGTCAGTGCAGAGCCTGATGTGGGGCTCAAACTCATGAACTGTGAGATGATGACCTGAGCCAATGTTGGATACTTAACCAACTGAGCCACACAGGTGCCCCTCTTTTTATACCTTTTAAAGACTGGTCTGTTTTGGTTTTGCCTTTATTCCTAGAACAACTCTTTAGTCTTGAAGCACAGCTTTTAGTTCTCAGCAATTTCAGCGGAAACTCCAAGTTGTTTATCCATTCTTCTAAATCGATGGAATTCAAGCTTCAAACTTTCTTTCCTTCATCCTGAGCAGGAACTGAAATTTCACTTTCTCAGCCTTCCAGATGTTGCTTTTCTCTGGATATCTTGAACATTTTAGGAGTCAGACAATGATCTGAGGGAACTTTACATGCATGTATTGGATCTTCACTGTTACGTTTTTATGAACTGTTTGTATATGTGTCAGTTTCCCTGTACCCGTGCCAATTTCGGAGGTCATCCATCTTTTGAAATTTTTGCCAATTAGATATGCAAAGAAGTTATTGTTTCAACTGATATTCCCCAAGAATAATTACGGTGATTGTCTGTTCATGTGCTTGTTGGCCATTTGCAATTTATCTTTTGTGATGTGCTGGTTATTGTATCTAGGATTTTTTTTCTATTAAGTTGTCCTTTATATGTAATTCGTTTGTAGGTGCCTTCAAAATCTTAGAGATATTAACCTTTGCCCATTATGAATGTTGCAAATATTTTTCCCACTCTGTCATTTATTTTTACTTTGATTATACTTTCTTTTATCATGTAGAAGTTTTACATGTTTATGTGCTAGGCTCTGTTTTGGTGCTGGCAATTCAGGGACAAGAAAACAGTTAAAAACTTATTCTTAGGGAATTTACAATCCAGTCAGCACTTGGACCTTTTTCTGGATTATATTCTGAAACGCTGATTAACTTTTTATTTTCCTGTGGCAGTATTTATATGTTCAACTCCCTGTTCGTTAAATGTCTTGTCAAAAATTATTTGGCAATATTTACACTCATTTTATCCTTCTTATTATATTCCTTTAAAAAATTAATTATAAAGTGGTTTAGACATTGCAGAGTGCACAGAAAATAATACAGGTGCACGCCTGCGCGTGCACACACAGTATCAGAGCAACTGGGTGGTTTGATTGGTCCAGGCTCTACCTTCAGCTCAGGTCATGATCTCGTGGCTCATGAGTTCAAGCTCTGCGTGGGGATCTGTGCTGACAGCTAGCTCAGAGCCTGGAGCCTGCTTCAGATTCTGTGTCTCCCTCTCTCTCTGCCCCTCCCCCACTCACACTGTCCCTTACTCTCTCTCCAAAATGAATGTTGATAAAAATAAAAATGTAAAGCATTATATGGAGTCCTTGCTTCAAGACTTATAAGCTAAGATTAAATAGGATCCTTGGAACACAGATGGGATGGAATCTTAAAACAGGTTTTCCACCGAAGACCACATTAGCAGTGCTTCTACTTACCAACTTCACAGTCCTGTCTCCTCCCTCTAACTGGGAGGAGGTGATTTGGGGCAAGCCCAGTTAGTACACCTACTAGGTCCCTTGAAAATCTAACCCAGAAGGCAAAAGCAATGAAAGGGAATGACTGTTCACTGACTTTTGGCCTTCTAATGCATTGTGAGCAGTATGCCTCAAACTATGCCTTAAACCAATTTCTTTTTAAATATTTTTGCCAGTTAGAGGTCCCTGGGTGGCTCACTGGCAAAGAGTTCGACTTCGGCTCAGGTCATGATCTGACGGTTTGTGGGCTCAAGCCCCAGTTCAGGCTTTGTGCTGACAGCACGGAGCCCGGAGCCCGCTTTGGATTCTGTCTCCCAATCTCTCTGCCCGCCCCTCCTTTGCTTGCACTCTGTCTCTCTCGCTCGCAAAAATAAACACTAAAAAATATTTTTAATATTTTTGTTATTTAAATATTTCTTTCTTTCAGTGTAAAATATCTGAGCAGCAAGGAGAGAAGTGACTCAAAAAGCTTACTGCAACAGATTTCAAAGACACAGGCTGAGTCGGAGTGAAGGGGAAGATAGGAAGAGAGGCAAACAAGTTAGTGGAAGTGGGTGGTACAGGGAAACCAGGAGAAGCTAAGATATGAACATCTTCCGGCCTGAAATTCTGTAGACTATGTGGTTAGGGACCAAGGTATAGAGCGGGCAGAAACATGTCATCGAGAGTCGATGTAAACACAAATAATGTAAAATATAGCTATAAGTACCATAGCGATTCACTTTATTTTCCAAGAAAATGTTTCCTATAGGCATATACCAGAGGCCCGGGAGGCGGTGTTGGGCCTCTGGCCACTCTGCCTTTGGAGGTTGGTGATCTGTGTTCCACCTCCTCAAGATGAGTCATCCCAAAAATGGGAATGAGTCTCCACCTAACGGTAGAGAGCCAGGTCATGTTTTGAGAAACCATCGTGCTTCCTGATGGTGATAGAGGGGCTTGGAGAAGAACAAGGATATATGGCTTCTTTACTGAATACCTGAGCCATAATGTATTAATTAGCCTAAGATGGTGAAAGGGATTTATTTGAGAGTTTAGATGGACTAGAGGCCAAAAACAGATTTTAAGATTCCACAATTGAGTGTCTGACCATCATGATGACAGTGGTGAACCACCACCATGAAGCTAGGCTTTTTAACCTTAAGGGTTACCTAGAGGTGGTTAATGTCTTAAACAAAGCAGGTCAATCTATAGGCTTCAGTTTGAAACAGAACATCACAGGGGCGCCTGGGAGGCTCAGTCAGTTAAGCATCTGACTCTTGGTTTCAGCTCAGGTCACGATCTCAGTTTCTAAGGGGTCGAGCCCCGCATGGGGCTCTGTGCTAATAGTGCAGAGCCTGCTTAGGATTCTCTCTCTCTCTCTTTCTCTCTCTGCCCCTCCCCCACTCATGCTATCTCTCTCTCTCTCTCTCTCTCTCAAAAACAAATAAATAATCTACAAATAAAAAACCGTCACAAACTAATCTGAAGGGGGAAACAGGCAGTCATCATACTTGACACCCACCTTGATGAGGGGGGCAGCCAGGTTTAACAAGCTGTGTCTAATTCATTCCTATAATAAACATGGTCAATGCCAATCACAAAGTCAGAGCAACCATTATTTAATGAAAAATAACGGTATAATATATTTTATAAATAGGGCTTGGCCTGAGGAGTAAATATGGTTAATTCAGAACAGTCAATTCAAAAATTATGTACTACGTTTTTAGTTTTATAACTGATAACTCTGTCAAAATATTCTTTGCTTTGTATAGAGATGACTTCCTTCTGGCACTGCCCAAGGCTCCCTTGCTTATAACGAGATGGTGAAAGATAGATAGCACGCCTGCTAGACCAGAGGAATCAGAGGGCTGGCAGGTTTCTACCGCAGATTAAATCATGGGCCAAAGTAGAAGGAATCCCAGAATGGCACTCCTGCTGTGGGCACTGTTTAGTGTCTTTATCTCCCCACTGTGAGCCCTGTCCCGGAGGGCAAGGACCTCTGTATTCATTTTTATGTCCCAAGTGCCTAACACTTTGTCAAAGTCTTCCTAGAAATGGTACTCAGTCAACAGTGTTGAATTTTATTAAGCCATTTCTCTTACTCCAATATGGATACAGAGGCACTAAATTCCGATACAACGGGTGCCACGGCTTCTGGGTAATAAACCACTCATAGGGACAGTTTATAGGAACTTGGTTTATCCCAATCTCCTGGGGGAATCTGGTGGCATAGCCATCTACTGCTTTACTCAGTTGTACAGGACTCATGGAGAGAAACTTCTTCAAAGGGAAAAGAGAGCAGGGGATGGGGTTATTCATTCTGCAAGTATTTACTGAGCCATCAGTCGTGCATCCCAAAGAACTCAAGGTGCAGGGCAGAGAAAGACGAGGAAAACACTGGCTCTGACCTTAAAGAATTTAATAAGTAGTTAAGATATAGCAAAGACCTAGCACACTGCTGACTCACAACCAAAAACCTAGCTTGGATACAAGCTATATGGTCAAAATGGAAGCTCCTAACAAGAGAAATAAGAAAATCAAGGGGAAAACGCCTCACTCTTTCATCTTCCATTTGGCATAAGACAGCTAGCATTCAGAGGTGTTTTTTAAGTTCACGTTCTTAATTTTAAAAACGAAAGAACTCAGACCGAAGTGGTTACGTTATCCACACAAGATCATATTACTAGCTTCTAGCACAGAAGTACACACACAGGTCTTTTTGATCCCCCAAACCACTGCACTGCTTACGTGAAGGAGACTGGCCAAGGGCAGCGGTTCTCGGTGTGAGAAACCCAAACCAGCAGCACAAACACCTAAAAACTTGTCAGAAATGTGCACATTGTCAAGACCTGACCCTGCCCGTTCTCAGACCTGGGGGGGGGGGGGGCCATCTGTTCATCAGACCCTCCCTTCAGGTGCTTAAGATGCCTACTGAGTTTGAGAGCCAGCACCTAAGGCAAAGGAAGTAAACATGA